AGCCTCTCTCTCCTTTTCTCTCTTCCATGCCCCTCTCTCTATCTATTTCTCTCTCCCTCCCCTCTCTAATCTCTAGAGGGTGGCACGCCACCTATAGGTGAGAAAAAGGGGCATGCCCATCCTAGGAAGACCAAGGGAGGTGCCACTCTTGGCATGCCCTAGAGAGGTCCATAAGGGGTCTAAGAAACCCCAACTCTTATTTATGCTCTCAAATAGACCGTAGAATTGAAAGGTATTGCCTAAGGAAGCTTCCTGACTCGAAGAATTCATCATGTCAATAAGATCAGAGTGCACCATTGGTCAGGTAATCAAGCGTAGGGTATACCAAATCTTAAGAGGGTGACTGCAGTCAACATCAAGTAAGTTTCCTGGCTATTTTGATTTTAGTTTCAATCAATATTGCTCAATTTATGTCAATATCCATTAACATTATGTAAATTAAAATCCATAGTTAAAGCTCATTTTTCAGTCCAAGATTCAATGATATTTATTTGATAGTAAAAAGAAAGATCCCAAGTTGTATTTAGGTTTGTTCCTGTTTATAGCAGTATATTATGGCACATATAAGTGGAATTCAAATATATTAACTAAAAATAATAAATTTACTCTTTGGAATTCCACATAGCCACTACTTCGAATAAGGGAAAGGTTTTCATACTTCCCCTACTGCATAGAAGATATATACTTCCCTCCCTCCCCCCCTAATCCAGTCGTCAGCCGTCCAATTTAAATCAAGTGAGCCACTGATCGTTTGTTCTTAGATCTAACACCTCATAGCATTTATTTTTAATTTTTTTCTAGGTTATATAAATATGAAATCTGGTATGTATCACCATCTCAATGGAGTACACCTAAAAAGAATTTTTATTATAAAATATAATGACCAAAATACCCCTTGAAGGTTTCGGGTGTATTTTGGTTATGTTATTTTATTGAGAATATTTTTTATATTTTTTACAAGTGCAAGTTTAATAGAGGAGTGGACACCCAAAATTCTATGTCAAAATAATTTAAAAAAAAATTAAAAATAAAATAGTGTATAGAAATAACATTGTGAATGGGGACATCTCAGCCGTCCATTCAGAATGAACGAGTGGATAGGGGGAAGTATATAAGTTTCATGCGACAGGGGAAACATAGAAAGCTTTCCGTAAGAACAATGCCCAAAATAGATTCTCTAAAATATAAAGTAGATACACCAATTGCAAGGCAAAGATCTTGCCAGAAAACAAAGAGATATTTCACTACGAGAGTTCTGATAACAATAATTATCCGAATTTATAATTCCTTCTTTCTTCTTCAGGAAGGCTCAGTATCATTGTGAACAATTTGAAATGGACTTCCATTCAAATAAAAATAATAGCCAGGTTAATTTAAAAAGAGGTATTGCATGTTTTAATTCTAATAAGAAGATAATTAAATGCAAAAAAGATTTGAAGGCATTTCTTGATGAAATTATTGAGGTATAATGATTGGGAAAAGATAAATATATGTTGTCAAAGAATAAACTCTATTGAACCAAGAGTTATTAAAAGATACAGGGATGAGTATTTAGCAAATCAAGATCATGTTGAGCAACAAGAAGCAACTTTGGCTGAACTCTTCAAGTTGTTCAACCAACAGACCAAACAATGCATCCCCTATTAGAAAAAGACAAAAAGATTCTATATTCTCCGCATGGAAGAATAGTGGGAACTATTGGGAGACATACATGAATAAAATCTTTTTTTCTTTTTCTTTTTTTTAGGTAAAGATGACAACATAGATTCTCTTTGTTCTCTATTTATGTAAAGATTTTCTTTTTCTTTTTGTACAGAAAATATGTAGAAGAAAGATTCCTTATTTTTTCTTTATACCCTAAGATATGATGTAAATCACCTGATAAGTGTAAAGGTGATCTAAGCATCTTTTTCACTGTGTAAACATGTACCCATGTCATTCAAATGAGGCAAGCATGAACTGAGGTGTAAAAATTATCTCAGTTTTGAGATCTTTTTCTTGGTGCGTGAATCCAAGAGCATGTATTTCCTAAGACCCATATTACTAGAATTAAGACCATTGTGAGGAGGGACTACTAGGTGTTCATAGGTGAATATCGCATCACAGCCTGCAAATCATAAGTCCTAGTAAGCCTCTTCAGGATTTCTAGCTAGATCCTCTCTCATCTCCTTCAGTATCAACAGCCATCCAGGTGATTCCATCTCTCGTGTATTTCACATCCCATCTTCCTCTATTGACAATTTTTTTTTATTTGTCAAAAACAATAATTATATATTAAAAGAAATTAATATGTAGTCTATGGGCCTAATTCTCTCGTTAATTTTTTTTTTTATATCAAAAATACTGAAAACAAAGCAAAACTTTGTGTGCTATCCTCTCTGCCTTTCTCCTTATTAATAATAAGTCACAAAAAAGAGTCAATGTCCCTTCTCCCCATGTATCAAATAAAAAAAAGGGCAAATTGTATAAAATTTTCAAAAATAAACTTTTCTACTCTAATTTTTTTTAGCTTATTTTTTTCAAAATCAAGTTTTATAACAAATACCCCCAATACAAAAACTTCATTTGTTTTGGCGAAAATACTCTTCCCATACATAACAAATTATTTTTAGATACCAATAAAAGGAAACGCCAGACCGCAGTTGTATATGTTGGACCCATCCATTCTACCAGACCGGAACTGCACACTGTCGGGCTACCTATTCTAGACATAATTTTCAATTTTGCCGGACCGTAGCTCACAAATGCCGGACCGCTCATTAATCCAAAACAAATGCCGGACCACCTCTTCCAAACTCCGGACCGCCATTATGAAGTGTCGGACTGCCATGGTGAAGTGCCGGACGGCCATGGTGAAGTGCCAGACTATTTCAAATCAGTGACTTAAGCGCCAGCCCGCCATGGTCAACGTGTGAGGTAAAGGAGGGGTGTTTTAGTCTCTCTTTTTTTTGAGTTGGGAGGTATTTGCTAGGAAACATTGTTTTGGGGAAAAAGTTGTTAGAAAAAATTTGGTTGGAGGTAAATTGCTTAGAAAATCTATTTTTGAGAGCTCTATGCAATTTTTCCAATAAAAAAAGAAAAACAATAGTCAGAACCTTATAACCAGGAGTAAAAAAAGAAAAACAATAGTCAGAACCTTATAACCATTAGATCATTCATGGTCAACTTGCCAGTTATCCATCGGAAAAGCAAAATAAAGTCAAAACTTGTAGGTTCAACATTGATTCGAACCTGGCGCGCCTAGATTTCACCTAAACTTAGACCCGAGTGGGGTCCAAGTGACACCCACACCCATGTCTAGATATTTTACAAATTAAAATTTATTCTATAGACTGAATGCTATATGTAATTTCTATTTTTATATATTTTACAGCAAGTTGGGTCAGGTCAGGTCGACCCCATAGGGTCCATGCCAGACCCGGACCTGACCCAAGTCCAGTCCAGATCACTACCCAAATCGGGTCCAAGTCATTTAGACCCATACCGGATCCGTTGGGTCCAAAACGTGGTCTGGGACCTAGACCTAGACCTGGTTCAGGTCAACCCACCGGGTTGGCAATCCACCCGACCCAATTGCTACACCCTTTAAAGCCAATGGTGGGAGAGAGAGAGAGAGAGAGAGAGAGATCAGGTTTCATGCCCAAAAAGGAAAAAGAAGAGAATATAATGCATGTATGAAAGATTTTTATGTGACCCTGGTCTCAGCCGTCAAATCTGAGTAGATGGCTGAGATGACTTGAGTCGCAATGTCACAATGACTTGAGTCGCAATGTCACAAGCTATCTCTTAATCGTTACACTCACAGTTTTTTATTTTTTATTTTTATTTTACAAATAATTTTGAAGCAAAATTTTGAACATGCATAGATCTGACAAGACACATATGATAAAAAGAACAAAAAACATTTTCAATGATGAAAAATCATCAAAATACCCACAAAAATTACAGGGCCATTTTGGTCATTTATTTTTACAAAAAATATTTATTTTATATTTTTTCTAGGTGCGCCCTAATTTTGTGATGGGACATCCAAAATTTCTTCTAAAAGATTTTCGTAAAAAAAAAAAGAGAAAAATAAAACAGTGTTTGGTGTGACATTGTGATATCATAGCTTTTCAACCCAAGATTAAACGGCTAAGAAGTGCGGTCTCTTATATGTTGGACACATATAAACATTTCCTTATTACTAATGGGTTGGGGCTTTAACGGTTATGTATATTCATGGTAGTCCCCATCGCTATTTCTCAAGTTCAAATCTTTCCTGCTCGCTTTTCCGGACAAATCAATATTAAGGCCAGGTTCTAATTTCTCAAGTTTGAATTCCCTCATACCCGCCTTTTAAATTTTTATTCATCCTTAAACAAATTGAATCGGAATCCCCTCCTGCTTACCTTTTTAATTATTTATATACCCTAAAAGGATTATTTGTACTAGGTTGGGTCCTACAATGAAGGATTGGGCACTATTTCTCAAGTCCGAAGCCCCTCCTACCCATTTTTCTAACTTTGATATACCCTCAATAAAAAGGCCAGGTAGGGAATGGGGTCCGGACAAAGTGGTTACGGGGCAGATGCCTCAACATAACCCGCCTCCATTCACGCCATTAACTTATCAAAAAAACAAAAATAGGGCCAGGTCAGGCAGCCCACCAAGCAACAGATTTAAGAACAAATAACGCTCGTGACATTTTCACATAGGGTTATGTTAGGATACTTGTATATGTGAATATTTATTTAATGTACTCAATATTTTTTAAACTTTAATACCCTTATCTCATAAAGTAGTAACTTTTCAGCCAAGGGCATTTTAGATAATTATTCAAGGGTGAAAGAAAAATTCATAATAGAAAGAGATAATTTATGAAAAATGACGTCAGCCACATGGTGTATGACATCACCCATATGAAGCATTAAATATCACTAAATAACAAAAATTACCCATGCTAAAAAAAGTTTATACTACCAAATAAAAGTGATTAGTGTCCAAAAATATTGAGTACATTTAATAAATACTCACATGTATTTGTACCATAACATAATCCTTCCACATAATATTTGACAAAAGAAGTAAGTTTGAAGACATGCAAAAGATCTGAGTATTTGTAAAAGCCATGACAGAACAGTATCCATCCTATGACATCTCATGCTACAAAATAGTATTCTCTCCCATCCAAACTTTCACCAATGCAAGACACCTTGGTGAACTACAAGCCCAAGAAAAAGGGAAAGCACTTGTGCTAGTTAAAATTGTGTTGAAATTCTTCCAGGGCCAATGATGTTGCCATGCAAAAGCCTCTCAAGGATGATGCTTCAAAATTCAATGGAACTCCAAGCACAGAATCATGCATGCCAACAATAGACTGAGATTCTGAGACCTAAACTTTGTCACAGCGCTGGAAGAGCTACATCACTTATGCCCACGGAGGCATTGGGGATCCTGAATCACCATTAGAACATGTTGTTCTCTCTACTGCTTTCCTCTTGCAGTAGATATCCGGCAAACTGAAAATCAGGTAACACAAATTGTGGGAAAAATCATTCACCAGCACAGCCCAATCTTTATGTAAATAAGTGTGTATGTGTGTGCGTGTGAGAGAGAGAGCAAACAAATGATAACTTCTGAAATAAGGACTAACGGCAGTTATTTAAAATCTGCAGAAACCAGGGACATGTCAGATGTTCTCCAAACAAAGTCTCGTAGCATCAATTAATTTCTCAGAATAACACAAAAGAAACAGGTATAGGAGCTTCAACTATAATAACATGCCTATTCAAGAATTCATAGAGACAACTTTGAGTTAAATTCCACCAACTACTAAAAGGTATTTACCAAACCATCATGTCCCATTTTCTTACTTTCTTCTATAGACTTGACAATTTTATTGATATAAAATGCATACATAATGCGAAAGCACATAAGAGATGTATAAATTGGGTAGCACAAGAGAGTGATGGTAGTTAAAGAATGAAATAGTTAAAAGATGCTATATATCCACAACCACAAGGGAATCAACAGTGATTCCCTCAGAGAGACCGTCCATTAACTTCCTTATGTTCATGTTGGAACGTAGAACCAAAATCACTAGGAATATTCCCCCATGATGTCCAACTCTGCCAAGGATAAGAAGCCTGGTGAGATGCTGTTAAGGAATAACATTGAGAGAATCACCCTCAATATAAGTGGCCCGCTAAAATGTCATATAAACAATCAGAAACGCATCATCAAAGCCAACAATTCTACCATGCTTGAGCTACATGTCTGCATGGCATAATCATATGGCCTTCACAATTCCTAAGAACCCAACCCACCTCTCACCCGGCCACCCTGGGGGGAAACCTTCTAGCTCTGGGTCTCCCATTGAACTACCATCAAAGTTGAACTTCAGTGATGCATTGGGTTAGGGGAGTGAAGAGAGGGGGCAGGGAGGATTAACTGAGGCATCGGTTGGCCCAATCCATAATGAAATCTTCCATAAAGACACCTCTAAACTCTGCCAGGCAAAGCTCCACGACATGATATCTATAATAGCTTCTCTCTAGGTCAGGTTGTCGGTCCTGCGATGCAGGAAGATCCTATTGTTCTTCTCTTCCCATATGCCCCTTTTAATTACTGGGAGGCCGCCATAATAAACGTCCCTTCCAACACAGTAGAAGAGATTCCACCAAAGCCAGCATAACCCATTAGGCCCAAAAAGCTTCAGAAAGAAACTTTCATAAAAAGTGAGTAAAGGGACAATGCAGTGGTGTAAATGGTAGACTATCTCCTCCGCATCCTAACATAGATAACATTTTGGGAAGGCCACAATGATGAAAGTGGCCCCCTGTGAAAGCTTTATCCAATGTGGCAATCTAGCCAAAGGTCAAGATTTTTGGCCGGGCTGATATGGTCCCACATGCGTCGCCGGGTGTGAGCCATATCAATATGTTACGTGATGAATGAGTGGAATGATCTGAGAAAAACACCACCGTGTCGTGGGCCCAAAAGCCTTGTCCATCCAATCTTCATCAAATGGAATTAAAACTGATTCATGCCTCAGAAACAATTGACAGAACTCACTAAACTCTTCATACCATGGATTATCCTCAAAGGAGAGCACTGCCTTCCACCACATAAATCACTCTCTGAAAGTACTGTTAGGATCAACAGCCAATGTTGCAATTGAAGGAACTCATGATTTTAAAGCCAACTTTCCAATCCACATTCGCGCCAAAACTTTACTATCCCCATTAATCTTAACACCCTCCTTGAATAAACACCTAATCACTGATTAAGTACCTCCCCATAGCCATGACATCCCAGTCTGTCTGCCCAACACCTGAACTCCCCACCACTTCCCTCCCCTCCCATACTTTCCTAATATGGTTCTTAACAAAAAGCTATTGTGTTGTATAGCAGTCCTCAATTGCCATTTCCCCAATAGTGCCTGCTATTTCCGTGGGGCGCTTAAATACCCAAGACACCACAGAACCTGGGCCCACAAATATCTTCCAACTTGACAGCAAGAAACTTTCTCACTTCCTTGTCTCCTTGCAACAAGAAATCCCTTTATAATAACTCAATCAGCATTGCCCATAGGCATCTGGAATAATGACATAAAATGTGCTGAAATGCTACTTAAGGTGAATTTAATCAAGGTAACCCGACCTGCCATGTGAAAGGTTAACAGCCTTTCACGGGGCTAGCCTCTTCTCACATCTTTCAACAACCGGGCCAACTATTGCTTTCGAGGATTTATAATTCACAGCGCACTACTAGCCAACTGGTTCATCGCATGATTTTCAACCCCACAGCTTTTGTGCAGATTGACCCTTGGTCCTCTACTAAGTGCCTCACCAACCAGTGAATGAGGTTTAAAAAAAACCTAGGGGAAGCACTCAGGTGGCCATGGGGGCTGGCTGCCTAGGCACAAGGTGGGCGCCTCAGTTAACATGAATGAGATACATATGAATATGTGCCTCTAAAACGCCCAATAATCCCTCTTATTGTTCCTCTAAATAACCCAAAACATTTATATAAATCATCTAAAAGTTACTCTTATAACCTCTCTAGATAATTCACAATGAATCCAATAAAAGAATTTTGGATTGAGATGATTTCTCAAACTTCTCAAATTCTTTCAATCTCAAAAAAAGAAAATGAGAAATCGGAGGATTGAACAGAAACGGGCGTAAGCGCACCTTGCCCAAGGGCAATTTCTACCCTCCGGACAAGGGTAATCCAGTAGGTACCCTTGGGTGCTTGAACGCCTATTGTAGGGCTGTTGAGGCCATTTAAAGGCCTTATGAGAGCATGTAACCAATTTTATTATAGTGAAACAAAGACAGAGGACCCAAGTCAGTAATATTGATGTTGAGACTCAAACTACACTTGAACTAGGCCAATTAAAATCTAAAACCCTAAGACACCTGGGTATATAGTACACCCGAGAAGGGTTAGCAGGATTACGCCTTTATGAGGTCAAAGAGATGCTCAAGTAGTTATCCAAGGGACTGTGTGACCCTTGTGTGTGTTTGGTAGGCTTGAAGGGACAAGGGCCAAATCCTCATCGTGACCATCACACGCTATATACATATGACAGTCGTATCATGAAGTAAACTCCCACTGAAGGTATTGCATGTACATGTGCAAGAGAAAGCCCTCATGCACCAATTGCAATGTGTGTGCACAAGTCGTTGTGACTAGGCTTGCTCCTAAGGGGAAACTAGGATTGTGTTCTCATCACCTATTGCAATGCAGGGAGAATGGAAGGAAGTAATTAAATAAAAATAATAATAATAAGTGAGAGAATAAACCCTCTCTCAAGGTCTGCATGGAATCCACCCCAAAAAGATCTTGACAATATCAGCTTTACTCAATTTCAATCTCTTCTGTTTACAATGAGAAACCTCTTCCCTTTAAATACACTTAGAAGCAAATAAATAAATTAATTAATAAATATGAACCCATAAAAAATTAATTCTATCCCTTTCTATTCTCCATGTAAATCTCCTCTCTATCTCTCTCATACGTTATCTCTATCTCCATCTATCTCTCTAAATCTCATGTTATCTTCTCTTTCTAAAAGATAATAAAAAATAATTTCTACTAATCTTAAAGAATAAGCTATTTCCTAAATCACAACTCTGGCCCCTACTAAAATTCACGCTATAAAACTCACGCCCAACCTAACTTATCCCAGCGCACTTTCTATTCCCAAAATTAAAAGAAATATAAAAATAAAAAAAAATTAAACAACCCCAATTTTTATTTGCATCATTCTCCCTAGGTTGGGAGAAGCTCGTCCTCGAGCTTATAGAACTCAAATATTTTAGAGGCCTTATCAAAAGTAGAACTCAAATCTTTTAGAGACCTTCTCAAAAGTTGGTGATGCAATCCCACCATGTGCCTCAGTACTTTTTTTCAATAAATAAACAATATATCCAACACGATTTGTAGTGGAAATTTGAGACACCAAAGTTTAGAATACCAAACTGAATCTTGATTTCTCCTTCATGCTCACAGGGTGGTATTCCATAAGCTGCAACACACATATCATTTTCTTCACAATTGATTTTTGAAATTTCTTGCACGTTTGGGCTATCAACATCGTCTTTTGCATCGATATCTACCTCTTCACACTCTTCTTCCTATTGTTGTAATATACTAAGTCGATCTTGTAGATATTGTTGTATTTATCTACAAACGTCTGCCATGTCTCTTTCAAATTGTTGATCTTGTAGATATTGTTATCTTGATCTGCAAAGGTCTTCCATGTGCCTATCGGATTGTTGATCCAATTGCTCAAATCAATCCATACGCTCCAATTGCTCAAATCAATCCAAATGCCTCATATGGTGAATGGATCTTTGATCAAGGCTCTGATACTAACTGATGTAGGGAGAATGGAGAAAAGTAATAATTAAATAAAAAATAATAATAAAGTGTGAGATAATATACCCTCTCTCAAGGTCTGCAAGGGAATCCACCCCAAAAAATCTTTTACCAAGATAAACTTTACTCAATTCCAATCTCTTCTGTTTACAATGAGGAACCTCTTCCCTTTAAATACACTTAAAAGAAAATAAATAAGAACCTACAAATAAATTAACTCTCTTTTTATTCTCCATGTAAATCTCCTATCTCTCTCACACGTTAGCTCTCTGTCCATCTATCTCTCTAAATCTCATGTTATCTTCTCTTTCTAAAAGATAATTTAAGATGATTTCTATCTATCTTAAAGGATAAGCTCTTTCCTAAACGACAACTTTGGCCCCTACTAAAAATCACACCCAACCTAACTTATCCCAATGCACTTCCAACTTCTAAAATTAAAAGAAATATAAAATACAAAATTAAACAACCCTACTTTTCATTTGCATCATATTGGCTGACTTTGGTAGCCCAATCATGAAATCCTATGATGGACTGAGGGTCATGAGAACTACTGGGTCGGTTTTAGAAAGTGAGTGTGGGACATGGTCTCTAGTACAGATGGAGTGCCTCAATATTTTTGCATTTTTCT